TCATGGGCGTGAATTATATAACTATTCAAAGAGACCACTGAATCAATAGAAAAGATACTACGAAATCAATTTAGAATTATGCTACTTTAGAGTCATATGAGTTTGATACTTTTTAAAGACAAACAGAATTTCAAACAAAGCTTGTCAATACTTCCCATTACTGCTGAGATGGCAAGTATGTATAAAAATAAAGAGATACTATTAGATTTAGCAATTAGGAGGTCATTGATGGCATTGACAAAGAAATTTTAACACTGCAATGAAAGCAGGATTCAAACTGACATACGTTAAAAAGTGAATGGGGAAGAAAAAAACGGAGTAGTGAGCATAGAAGTCTTCCAAGAAGTTAGACAGTAAATGGGGAAACAAATTAAATGGTAACTGATGTTAAAGGAAGAAAAATACCATTTGTTATTTTCTCATTACAAAATAACATGATTTTTTTATTAAAATATAGAAATCATGCACACATAAAAGAAAATTAAAGTAACTATGAAATCACCATGTGATACAACTTTCAAGCTGAAGGAAAGCTATCTGGGATGGACTTATGCTAAAATATAAGTTATAGGGAAGAAACTAGTAAGGAAATCTATATTTAACATACTGGTGAGACATGCTTTTTGGGATAAGACTTGGAGTCAGTAGAACCCTGAACTCAAATTACTAGCAGAATGACCTTGGCCAAGTCACACAAACTTTTGGGACCACCATAAACTGATATTCAAAGTGGTGATGATAATAACTACGTAAAGACTTAAGTGCATATGAAAATATACATTTAGCTGTTCATCATCTAAAAACACAATGGATTATTATTGATGTATAAGGAAAGGATAACAGGGCAGGGTTTTCATGGAATGGGGCAAAGAAATGCAAATCAAAAGTAGTGACACCTAGGAGCTTGGTAGTGGTGAAGAAGGAAGTTAGTAAACAGATGCAGTATGGTCAGTAGCTTTTGTATTAAGTAGAAGAAAGAAGAGTTAGAAAACTGAGGAAATATTACAGCTTAAAACTTCTGTGGGAACTCATTAAAATTATTTAAATGTGGCTCTTTTATAGTCTTGATGGTCTGCTTCACAGTTATAAGAACAGAAATGAGTAGCTTTAATATGGATGTCTCTCAACTGTGCTATTATGAGTACTAGGGTACTTAATAAATAGAAATAAAAATACTTTTTAGACTGCTTAATTAACCCAAGGCTTTGCTTCTTTTTCTTTGTAGATTTTCTGTTAGGGCAATATTGGGTAAATATACCTCTCTCTGATTAACCTAGCCTATTTACAGTCAGAAGACAATTTATCCTGCCCCATAATTTTATTATTCATAATTAGTTTTTGATTAATGTTAAAAATATTGAGCTGTGAATCTCAAAGTACAAAACACTCTAGTTTTGATAAGTGACATTAGAATGCTGTAATATATATTTCAATGAGCTTACAATTGTGTGATTTTGAATTTAATGTCTACTTGCAATATATTTTATTGCTATGATTTTACATGTCTTATATCCCCATCTTTTAAAATGCAATTTCTCTTTTAGTGAAGACATGTGGCTCTAATCTTCAAGGACCAAGTGGTACCTTTACGTCTCCCAACTTTCCATTCCAGTATGACAGCAATGCACAATGTGTCTGGGTCATCACAGCAGTGAATACAAATAAGGTAAGGGAAGACCATCTGTGGTTTAAAAAAAGCGTAATCATAAAGACAAAGGCAAAGAGATCAGGATGAAAGTTCTGTATAGAAAATATATAACTAAAGTATGATTTCAGCAATAGTTTCTACTTATCCATTTGAAAAATTATTTCAGAAATTTAGAAAAAATCAAATAGATATAATACAGCTCTAGTTACTAACATATAAATGATAACACATTAAAATTATCAATGATTTCTGAGATACATTTTTGAAGGTTGTAAGTATATTTTTTTTTCTTTTTTATTTATTTTTTAAAGTATTTTATTAAATTTTTAAATTGTTAGCATACTC